AAGTTCATCACCCTTTCACAGGTCTCCAAACTGTTGGCCTAAAGCTGGTAGCTATGTTTATTAAATCAATAATAACAAATACCACCACCACCAAGAAGACATTTCCACCTATTCATCAGCATTCTCACTTAGCATGTTGCCTTTGTCAAGTAGCATCCTGAAATCATCCTCCTCTAAAGCTGTTCTTGCTAGAAAGCTATTATATCAGGTATCTCTGCTTGACTGTGTATGTCTGAAGAGTTAAATCCTTCAGACATGCCCATTGTCCATCATCTGGCATGGGCCATTGAGTCACCAAACTCACTGGCACCCACCAGATTGCAACACGGGGGGCCTGGACTATTTTGCCAGATACTACTGGGCACACAGTTGACCTCTGAAATCCTCAAAATATGTCTGTGAGCTTTACTAAAGTTAAAGAGCAAATCTGCTGCTGTTAGCTGTCATTGATTGCAATTTAAAAATAGGCTGGGCAAGATTTAAGAATGTGTGTGTTCAGTATCAAAAGTTTCCTTGGAAAAGGTCTAGGAAAAGCTGAAATCGATATTGCAATGCTACATTATATAGGAGTTTGAAATTGGGAGATTGAACGTCTACTTCAAGCCTTTCCTCTTGGTAAGGAACTCAGGAACTACCTCGAAATAACAGATCTGGTCTGCTTCAAAAGCAGCACTTCTAATGAATAGCAGGAAAGAAAATAAAACACCTTTTCCTCTTTGTAATAAATCATTTCGTTTTTTCGATAGATTGCATGTGGCGTTGGAGGCAGAGCGAGCAAGCCTGCCAATATTGCAAGCTAATGCTTCAGCACCTTTCATTTTTCACCCTGAGCAGGAACCCTCTTCTGAAACTTGTTCATTTTGCAGAGGGAAAATCGAAGCCACTGGCAGATTGTCAGAGCTGCTTTATTGTCATCATTTACAAAGGTTGCTAGAATTAATTGACTTCTTCTGTTACATATTATAAACTGACTCATTTTTTGACACATTTGTGGGAAAGTGGCAGGATCTAAGTGACTGCTTATTGTCTTTTGGGTTTGGCATAGATTATAAACTAAAAAGCCAATAATAACTCTGAAATTACAGTTTAGGGAAAAAACACACTATTTCAACGCAGCAGACTCCATTAACTGGTTAGTTGAAGTAAAGGAAGGGAAGAGAGAGCTCCAGCCTGTGAAGCGTAAATACAGGGTTTGTCTCAGCGCCTTTACAGGACGCATGCACAGGGACAGGGAAGCTTTCCACGCGCATCGTCAATTGGCGTTGCCTGTTTGGAAGCATAGTCTAAGTAACTGGCTTCTTTCTACACGACTGGAAGTAAAAATTAGCCTGTATTCGGTTCCATGATTCATCACTATGCCAATGCTCAGAGAGTTTACTGAGAGCAATTCTGTCTCGAAGGTATTGCTTCTGAAACTAAAGATAAGAGATACAGCATATGACTGATGTTTATAGTACTAGGGCGCACTGTTTTCTTGGTAGATCCTTTGACTCTTCTCTTCTTTTTATTATTCACGTTTTTCCCTTTTCCCTAAAGTAGGAAGGTTGTACTCATATTCCTAGCCTGCTTTCACTAAAATTAGAGACATCGAAACAAGGACATACTGTTAAAAATGAATAAATTAGAGCCGAATTAAGCAACCCGGCTCAGTAACAGCAAAGGGAATATTGCAGTTGGTTTGAACAAACAATCTCCTTCAATAGGAAATGTACTTTAAAGCCATCCTGCTGTGATGCTGTTAATTACCACAGAAGAGAACTCTTCTGCTTCGTGGGATCCTTTGCCTAGCGTGCGGCGGCTGCTCCAGCTGCATGAGCAAGCAGACATTTGCACCGTCCCCTCAGACCATTAAGAGGATGTTAGTGAAGAGAAGTCATTTACCCCAATCTCTAAGATGTAGCCTGGCAGAAATTCAATAACTGTTTGTGATACAGTGTGCTCATTCCACTACTTGGCTTACTGGTTTTTGCTCTTGATATACAATAGCATTTGCCTTAGTCTCCATCCACAGGGTGAAAGGGAGCCTAAGTGCCCCTTGAAGGGGGTGTTTTAAAACACACATTGATGTGTGATCCTCTTTTCATCACAAATAATGTAAAAAAAGGAAAAGTCCCCCCAAACTGTCTCTTTCTGTCCTTTTTCTCTCCCTCTCTCCCTACCCCCACTTCTTTTTCTCTCTCTCCCTCCCTCCCCCCCTCTCTCTGCTCTCCCTCTTTTCTCTCTTTCATCTCTTCTCCCCCACTGTCCCCTTCCCTTGCCCTCCTCTTTCTCCTCCCCCAGCACTGCTTTTTCTCCTCTACTCACATCCTCTGATGGGCATTCGAGCTAGTAAAATGCATGTTGAAAAATCCCACAAGCACAGCTCTGCACACAGAGCCAGAGGATTTTGCATGTGAATTTGTTCTCAAAAGTCAAATGTAAAGAAAAATGCGCTTAGACTTCAGACAAGGAGAAAGCCTCAAAGGAGAATTGAGGCGTAAAAGCCGGAGCCTTTGCAAAAGAAGAAAGAGCATATTTGAACAGATCTAGGTATTGTAAACTTACCTTGCTAAAGCAGTTTCAGAGCCAGACCACCTCCGTGTCCCCGTGTGCTGAATTCCTCTGTCTCTTTCTTGGGATAATCACATGGTTGTCTTCTTGCCGGTGTGTGAATCGTGCATATGTGTGTGTGTGCAGTAAAGTAGACACGATTACGTACTACAGATCTACACGCATGCAGGCAACCTTCTGTCCGTGTTCCAAGATATAAAAGAAGGCAGGAGGCTGCAGCTAGGATTCCTTCTTTCGCCTGGAACTCTCTCCACCGGCAGCTGAGGCGCTCAATCCCATGAAGGGAGATGCTGGGAGCTGGCTTTATTTTTCCTCGTTTCCATGGTGGTTAGTGGTGCATCGTTTCCCGATCAGTTGTCACACTGACATGGTGCTGCCTGCTCAGCGGTCATTAATAACTGAACACCCTCCGCTCCCCAGAGAGGAGCCAATCGCTTCAGACAGCCAAGCTGTAGCTTTCGCAGCAGCTCCAGTCTGGTTGGCTGAAACAACCTGTCTGTTCTATGACACTGCTGCTTAGGGTACAAATAAATGAAACGGGCTTGCATATTTTCCTAGGAATCATTTTCTTTCTTTTTCTCCTTCAGGGAAATGTTAGGAATTTTTGATAAGTTCTCTCATTTTGGGGGTAATCAGCCATACAGATAAACTTATGTTTTCACTTTGAAAATACTGTAGGCAGGGCTCAATACTAATAGGGATTTCCAGAATATTAAAAACACCTGGTATAAACACAAGCCTCTGACTGCCTCTCTCTGAAGTTCAGCAATAGCTATGTTATTTTAAGAAGAACATCCTGAAATGAGTGTGGAGTGGCATTTGGTTCTCTGTAGTTACTACTTAATTTAGCATGTGTGCTTGCTGTTCAATACCACTCCCCCACACCCTTTCTTTTTCTTTTTCCTTATTTTTTGGCAATGACATTTCTTATCTGGACTGACCCCATTATAAAAATGAAACATGCATTTGCTTCTTTAAAATTCAAGCATTTAATATAGGAGGGGTAATTTAAATGTATATTCATTTAAAAATATTCGAAATCTTCTTATGTAATGTAATAAATTTGCCAAGTACATGTGAATGGGTTAATGGCCAAGCGCCAAGTGTGTGTGTATGGGGCCATGGGGAAGTGTTAGGATGTCTGATTTACTACTACGGAGGGCTAATTTAACCATAATAAATTAAATCACCAAAAATGAGTTTTTCTTATTCTTAGGCCTATTAACCCCTTATGGTTAGTTACCAGGAAAACATCCTACATAAAACATATGTTTAAAACAATTGTTTTGATTTACCCAATTCTGGAATAGAAAATGCAAAACAAAACAAAAAAATTACTTGTATGTGTCTATAAGAATACCTGTGAAAATACACAAGTAAAAATGAGTGTTTCATACTCTTAATTAGAATACTAAAGAAATAAGAATACTGGAACTTGAGCTTGTACCAACTAGTCAAAGCTAGCTGGATTCAAGACTCCAGCCCTGGCTTTGAGAGACTCCCCTCTAGTGGAGTAAAAAGAAACGACATTTATTAGATTTACTTGGGAAAAAATGCTTCCCATCTAACGGCTCCTTGAGGTCTTTATTAAAACGGCATAGACCAGTAGGTTGCCATTATTATAATCATAATCCTAGGGAATTTTAAAAGCTCTAGTTTTGTCTCTAACCACCAGATGTCTTCACTTGGTAGTTTCCTGTGAAAGTTTCCCTTTCTCTGTTGTTTTATTTTTCCATATTTGGTTATGCAAATTATTGCATTTCATATTTTCCCATATTGGTTATGCAAATTATTGCATTTCATTTTGGCTGATTTGCACATGTATGTAACATACTTTAATCATCACTCCTATTACTTGGCTGCCATATCCACCTTGTGGATATGCTCTAGTATCCCACCTTGCAAGTTTTCAATGTGGATAATATGTTTTGATTATATTCATGGAATGACTCCTAATCTTCTGAATAAAAATAAATTCAAAACAAAAGTGACTGCTTATATAACCCAGTGACACTTATTTCAGAATGTTATTTTAAAGTCTCACTATTTACCACACACTAGAGTTTCTTCACAAACCACATAGTGGCCTCTATAGAAGTGTCAGGGATTATGATGTGTGCTGGGAATGGTGTATGGGAGTGTCTGCGTATGAGTCAGTGCACTCATAAGCATGATAATAGACATCCATTTTACCCCTGATTTTACACTCTCTATCTCTAAGTTTTTGTACATTCCAAATCATTTCAATCTTTGTAGGTTTTATTTCTATATATGAAAGTAGTATGTTAAAATCGTGACAATTATTTGAAATATGAACTCCTTTTATATGGTGGTTCTATAAACATTTCATTTTAGTTGATTGGAATTGCCTGCATAATTGACAAATCTTGTAATCAAACCTATTCTAATGCACTTCCTTAATGAATATAAGTTATGATGGTAGGACAGATACATGATTGAATTACTTTCTTGCATTTTAAATGAAACTACTAACTATATATTATGTTTAAATTTTTAATCTTATTTGAGAATCAAGGAAAATTTCAAAAAATTATAATTTAATCAGGACTGAAAACTATTATATTTAATTTAATTTAATTTATTTTCAATACTGGAGGTTGAAACATCGCTAGCCCCCCCTTTTTTTTAATTTTGAGACAGGGTCTGGCTGAGTTCCCTGGGAGGGACGCAAACTTGCAACTGGTTTGCCTCAGCCTCCCTTAACTACTGGGATCATAGGCACAGGTTATGGTGCTTGAGTAGGACTGGGTATTAGGAGCATTAGGAAAATAAGCAGGAGAAAAGTCTGGCTTTGGATTCAAAGATAAAGAATTCGGTTCCTTGACTGTAGTTTCTATCTTGCTACAAGAATGTCAGCAACTTAGTGGGAGCCGTGTGGGTTTCCGGTGCCTTCTCCCTTATTGAGGAGGTCAGTCTTATAACTGAAAATATGAAAGGTGCCCATAAAGGATAGATGAAGGAGGTATTTAGCCATCACATCTAGAATGAAGTACTCTCAGGAGACATTCACTTATGATGGGGTAAAGACTTCAGGGCTTTTTGAATTAATAAATTTGTAAATGGTTATCCAATAAGAACCATGAATCTTAGAACCCTAATGTTTTAGAAGATCAGGATACTTATTGCAGTGTACAGAATTGGTACAAGAGCGCCAGGAATAGAACCCCTTGGGTCCTCCAGCATTTCTACACCATATCACCTTATCCACTGGATAATTGACAGAGCTCTATATTTTACCTTCTCAATTTTTCTTCTCTCTTATTTTTCTTTCATTCTGAAGTTTCTTCCTGTAGAATGTAGTAGAATTTTAGAGAAATTTCACATTGCAGATGTACTCTATTACATGGTTGTATGTGTCAGCTACAGTCTAATAAATTTTTGCAGAGGTTCTCAATGAGTATTTATGTTTAATTTAAATATACTGAATGCTTTAACAACATGAATGAGTAATTACCATATAAGTTACGCCCAAAGGATTTTCCTTTATCATCAAATAAAAAAATATTTAGTATATAAATGTACATTTATTGATTGACTTAGTAGCCAAGGAAATTAATTAGAGAATGATTTATTCCTTTTTAATCCAGGGCTTTACTTGCCTGTGTACTTTTGTTATAGAAGTAGTCTGGTCAACAGAGAGATTGCAGGTTCTAATGACAGATTGCCTGGGTTTGAATGCTTACCTTGTTATTTCTAGCCCTATGACCCTGAACATCATGTTAAGTATCATCTTTGTTAAGAAGCATCTTTGTATCTCAGTTTAAGTTTCATCTTGATATCTCATTTTCCTTCTAGGAATATTATAAGGATTAAAGGAGTTAAAACATATACAGAGCTAAAAAAACCACATGAAATGTACTAAGAACGTGACATCATTTTTGCCATTCCTGCCATTGTGGTCATTATCAATGACATTGTCTCCTCTTCGTTTTCTCCCTACTCTTTCACTACCAACATTATAATTTTGTTCCAGTTTTCCCCTTTATTTGGAATATCCTTTGTTCCTTCTTCTACTCCAAGTCCTTCACTTCTGTTTGCCTACCTCTTCTTAAATATGCTGTTCCACTTCTCATCCCTATAACAAAATGTACACATATTTGACCTAGAATAGCAATTTTTATTTCTCTTGTAATTTATCACTGTTGTCATCTCGATTGTTTCTGTAATTTTGCCTGTTTTACCATTTTAGTTCAGAAGGCTCTCCTAGTGAGGAGAGGTGTATGTGTCCTTATTTCACTATACTCCATGGTGGATTAAAAAACTGGAGATGGTACTTATTGAGCACAAACATATGTCCATGTATTTTAATGTTTATTTAATCTTCATAGCATTTTTATAAGGTAGCTATTTTTACTCCTATTTGTCAGTGTGGAAACATTCTCTGAAAGAAGTTATGTTACTTACATAGCGTCTCAAGACTATTAAATCACAGCGCTAAAATTTGAACCCAGTCCTATATTTATAGAGTCAAGGCTCTTTGCCTGCACTAGGCACTCAATATTCACTTGTGAAATAAATGAATGCTTGATTGATGGTCATGCCAACCAATTCAGTGTGGTCAGCGACAAGAGATGCCAAAGGTAAAATACTGTTCTTTAAACAGAATGAATTTTATGCATTAGACAGTAGACACTTTCATATAGTTAGGGTTGTTCAATGGTGATGACAGAATTTTTATTGCTGTCATGATTTGAGAAATAGAGCTAGGAAGAAATGCAGTGCCTCATCAGAAAGATGAGTCAGTGTGCCTAGAAAGTGAAATGCATATGAATGAACCACTGCGGAGGGGCTGACATTGTGCTGGGAGGACCATTAGTGATTTGGGCCTTTGCAGTCTGATTCTTACAGCAGAATAGCTTCCAATGAGGTTACAAACATGATTGGAGATAAGTAATATTGGTTGTTTGTTAGAAGGTTGAACTAGATCGACTTGGACCACAGTTCTCATTCTCTTTTTCAAAGGAGTTTTAAACAGTAGAATTGGAGGGGAAAAAATGAGATCCGTATTTAACTATAAATCTATCTTTCTGAACATTATAACACCATTTGAAAAATACCATTAATTTCACCACTCAAGGAAATTCACACCCAAGAACAAGAAAAATGTCCAGAATAAAGGGGCAAATCATTGCTTCTGTGTCTTCCTCAGATTCCTGTCTTCTTTTTCTTGATCTTTGCTGTTTTAAGTCCCAAATATTCCTCGTCTTAGTTCTTCTATCCCTGGCTTCACTGTTTTCTTTCAGGGCATTGACTTTAATTCTTTGGCTATATG